GCCCAGACGGCTCTCCGCCACGTGCCTCATAATTTCCACCAGTATAATAATGTTATTTAAAATAAATAAATAGAATTAGGTGAAGAAAGTGAAGTGACGCTGTGGAACGGTACTAGTGGAGGACGAAAGGGACTATTCTGAAAGATAATACGTCCAAAAATTATGGAACAACAAGAACAACTGGGTGGGTTTATTTTTAAAAATTTATTTTAATTAGGTCCAATTATGGGTCCTAATATAATTGAAAGGGGTCCATAGGCAGCTTCCTCATGTTTAGTCTTTAGTGCTGGAATTATGCCTATTTTTGTGCTCCACTGTTTGGAGGGGCTATTGTTAATAGTTGTAGCCAATGTGTGCTTTAGGAGCAACAAGGAAAAAAAATTTGAAGGCCAGCTCCTTCTGTCGGTGGATTAATGTTTGGGTTCTTTCACGTGATGAAAATGACAAGCAATAACCCAAGTGATCAGATTTCTTTTCTTTTCTGATCAAGTGATCATAAGTTGAAAGAATTGATTCAAGAAGGGGGCGGATTCGTTACGCTGGTAACGTATATTTATATTTAATTTTGTTTTAATAAAATTAGATATAACATGACCATAATTGCATGAAATGACTCGTTAAGTTAGACAACGGACCAACATATTAGAGATAACAAGTCTTTTCACCAAGAGCAGGACTCTATGAGACGAGACTGAACTTTTTGTAATAGGGTACAATGATCGGACTTATCAACTAGTTTGTCTTTAAAAAAAATTGTGTAACATGATAATTTATGCTATATATATATATTTATCCCTTTAGCTATTCTTAGTCTAATGAAAAGGAATGGTATCCTCCATATGTTTCATGTTTTGCATATTCTTGGTTTATCCTACACCTTCACTCGGTCGGTCACACCCACATTATATGAAGCATTATTTGAGTCAAATCCCAAAACAAAATTATAGCCCTTTATAAAATTTTATAAAAAAATAAAATAAAAACCTAAATTATAGCCCCAAATTCGTGAAGCTTTTAAAATAACCATGCCAGCCAAAATTGTATATATAAATACATAAAGCTTTTAAAATAACCAACAATAAAGTTATTTTTTAAATACAACTAACATTCAAGTTTTAATTATGGACGCATGGAGATAATATATAATATTTTAAGCTAAATATTGCTAGTGGATGTACGGATCATTGGTCCTACACCAATCACATCTGCGACACAAAAATATATATGATATCAGAAATATATATATATATATTTGCGGGCCTGATGACAGGGCAAATTCTAGCTACCCCCATTTCCATCATGGCATCTTACTAGCTAGTTGGGCACACAAAGCAAATATATTTCTTATCACTAGGATACGTTAAGATATGCTTATGGTTTAATGGTGGGGTTTACTTGTATTGTACCCATGGCCCATGGGTGCCAAAAGTACATATTAGTCTATGGGAATGAGATACAATGTATGAGATGCGATATGTTTTCCTTTTTAATTAAGTATATTTTCATCACGTCATGTTATCAATTCAGAGTCATAAATTATATAAATGAGTCAACTCAAGAGATTAATCATGACGTGAGCTCATTCAATAATACAAAATCTTAATTCGTTTAATAAAACTTAGTTTATTATACAATGAATTCAAGGACTTCTATACACCAAATTTTCATAGTCTGAACATGAATTCATAGCAGGTGCAATAGATTTTTCCTAGTCTAAGTCTGAGTAACCAGAGGAAGAAAAATGCCAGCGACCAACCCTATAAACAACCACTTCTAGGCTCATAGGGTCAAACTTATTACTTTGTCACTAAAAAAATTTCACACCTCCTACCCACCCACCCCTTGTTATGGGTAAATTATCTCAAGCGAGTCAAAGCTGGAAAAATGGGCATAAGGAGCTTAGGGAAACTAATTGGCCAAGAGGGGTAGGGTCAACTGATTAGGCCTTAATTGGTTTTCCCTGTAGCAGACTACTTGGTTAATACGTTATAAATTTAGAGTATAAAATTAATATATCGATACACATATTATTATAATATGAACAGATTGCTACTAACAAAACTATTGTGTGACACTAAAGAATTACTCGACTTAGAAATCTCACTTTCTTCTTAACTAATTCGTTTTCTGAAACCAAATGCAATAATGCCCTAAACCCTATGGCCCTTATCATGATCATCAGCCATGCATTGCTATATTAGCACAACTATTTTGCTAATATAATTTTGTTATATTTAGCCAATAATATTATGATAAACGTGCTAACACTTTTACGTGGCATAATATTATTTATCGAAAATAACAAAAACAGTTGCTTCAACTAAACTTTTCTTATCTTCCACACGTTACTATATTTTCACTATGACGCTGCGACTTGACTTTACTATTCATGGCAAATTGACCCGTCGATTGACTAGGTACATTGTATTGCGTGAAGAATATTTATTTACCTCTTTCCCAAAAGTCAATCTTGGGAGCTCTGAAAAATTGTTGGGCACAATGAAAATTGGAATATGCACTTGCTTTATGCCTCAAAACAAGGTCCTTTCTGTAGAGTGTAGACGTTTTTGCTTGTAAAATACTCCTGTCACTCTCACATTGCCCACAAAACCCAAATGGATTTAAAATTCCACATCCGTACTTAGTTTTTAGCAAATTAATTACCAAATGGCTTGTCGTTCTCATATCTGCTCCGCCTAAGACCAGGAAAAGAAGCAAGAAAGAAAGAAGTTCATGTTTACGAAGTGGTTTGGTTCGGCGGTTACTTGTAATAATAATTGCTTAGAGTTGTAAGCTCCTAATAGTAAATGGGGTGTTGAGTTTACCCAAAATGACACATTAACCAAACAAAGAAAATGAAGCAATAGCGGCAAACCCACTAATAAGCTTCCCGCCTGCCCTATATCCATTCAACTAACTCAAACATTTTTAACTACTTGAAAACGAAACGTAACTTGGCAGTTGGTGGGCTGCCTTAATTTCAATCACAATGAAGAAAATGAAATGAGTTTCATTGAAGATACTACAAGTTTAGTATGATCCTCAATAAGCAAAGCTCCGTCGTTAATATAATTTCCTCTTTTCTATTTAGGGATCGTCGCATTTCGCCACACAAAACAACACTATTTATTTCATAGAGGTTACTCACACTTTCGGTGTTGATTCTTTGCTTAGTGTCCAAAACGATTCTTATGTAGGATTAACCGTCTTGGGGTTTTGTACTTATCGTCATTATTCACATTCTCGAAAAATTATCATGCATATAGTATGACTTTTTTAGAGTATGGATAACAAGTCTCACGATATAGAAACTTAAAAACGACTTAACTTTAAACATAAACACAATATCAGCTCTAAAGAGTTTGAGGACCCCGAACTCCCGTTAATGAAGCTACAATTTAGATTAGACCAATTCTCCAAACTCCACACTCCAATCAAATCCATCAAAGTCATGAGATGCCATGTTACCTTGCTACCCATAGTGGGCTCATATAAAAGAAGTCATGTTGCTTGTCGCCTTGATTATGATATCTAATGTGACCCCCCTTTATTTGAATTGAGATTTAATGATAGATCCTTCTCCACTTCCGATTTGAGATCTTTTTGGGTTTGGGTCTTCATCATAGGCTAATTAAATAGCTAACCAGCAGTAAGATATATATTTTCGTTATCAAAGTATTTAGGCATGCAAGGTGACGGTGAGTGTGGCCATGATTTTGTTAGTTAAGTGTCAATTTTTAATTTTCATAAATCTTCAAATTTAATGTTGGGCACCCACGAGTAGGTATATATCCCTTTCCATCATCCATGCACGTGATTATAAATCCAAAACAGAAATAAAATAAAATAAAATATAGAAAAGCAATTGACTGGGCCTAAAGCTCAAGCCCAACGGACAATATATATAAGTTGTTAGATCGAGCCCAAGTTTCTTTACTCAAACAAATATTCAAACCCATGTTTGGTGATTTGAGTCTCTCAGTCGGTATTTCAAAATCATAGAGACAAGACCCTCAAATCCATTACTCCACTTTGATCACACACAAAGACTAACACTATAAACTTATGTATTTATACGCTCCCTTACAAAACCCTAGTTACCCTAGAACAAGTTACACACAACCCAATACTAAAAACAAACCCAAATAACTCAAATTAGAAATAAGAAATTAAGTTCTCGCAGAGACGATCAATCGCTTTGAATAAAGAGTGGCAATAAACAATCCCCACCAACCCCTTAAGTATTTACCGGTTTCGAACATTTCCTTCCTCAACAAGAAAGGAAAGGTCTAAACCTAGCTCAAAAAAGCTAAGAGCAAGATAGTCATTAGCTTCTTTTTTATCTTTGAGATTACAAACAAGTAGGTTTTCTATATTCCTAATTAGACGTATATCCCTCCCAAGTTATTATAAATATCTCCACTACTAACCAATGTACAATATATTATGAACCCTAAACCTACTACAGTTCAATCTTACAAAGTTACTAACATAATCGGTAAAGCGTTATTAACCGACACCACATCGGTGCCCCCTCACCGGCCGTAAAGTCTTATCAAATTTTGCAGGTAACTTTCGGACCTGTGTTACTTGAAAATTCATGTTCCATAGAATTGCGCATTTTTTCTTGGACTCATAAAGAATCGCATGTTATAGTTTCTTAGAATTTTTTTAATTCCGTGCCCAACTTTGCAACAAGAGAGAGAAGAAAAGAATGAAAGAGAAAAAAAGGAGGGGATATAGGTACATATACTACACACGTGGTTAATCGGACAGAAAGATCGTGATCTAGTTGACCTTGTGAATGACGTCATAAAGTCAAGCTGGAAAAAGTACAGGTGGACACGTGTCCAACGAGAGGTAGAGAGTACAGTGTCCCATCTTACTTGAGCGAGTAAAGGTACCAAATAGTTGCCTGTGCACTTTCCAGTTGCAACTTTGGAAGCACAGATTACAGTTAAACAGTCCTTCCCCGTCCCATCCAGTTGTGATTGTTTGTTCCCTTTCTCATTGCCTTGCTTTCAAATTCAATAACCAAAATTCCCTTTTAACCTTTTTTTATTTTCCCAGTTTGAGGTCAAAAGCTTCTTCGTGTGCCTGCAGAGTTCTCAAAAACCCTAGCCCAAATAGGCAATTTATTTTTATTTTTATTATTTTCTTTTTCTGTCATCTTCTGGGTAAGTTCTCAATCACTATTTCCTATCGTCAGGTTCTTGTCAATTGAATTTCTTTCTTGTTTTTGTTGCAAAGAATCTTTTTTTTTTTTTTTGTTTGGGGGGGGGGTGCCGGGGGGCTTATTGGGGTCTTAATTTTCAGTTAGTTTTGGTCTGCAAATTATTTGTTTTCTCCATTGAATATTTTCCGCTGGGAGTTTTGGAAGCTTCAAGCCTGAAGTTTGGGAAGCTTGAGCTTTCAAGTCTCTAGCTTTTGAGTTGTCATGGACATGGTCAGATTGGTATGCTGAGCTCTGATATGTTTACTGTTGAGTTGATTAAAGTGGTGCTCTGTGATTTGCTTTGGTGGTGTGGATTTTCAGTTCTTAATGGGTTTTGGGAAGCAAAGTTTTGCAATAGGAATTGAAGCTTGGTTTGTTTTTAATTACATCATGTGTTGAACTTTTTATGCTTGAAGCTATTGTGGAAGATGTTAATTGACATTTTCTTACCATTTGCAGAAACTCAACATTCAGAGACAGAACAAAAGAGCCCAATTTCTTCATACTGCTTGCGGTAACAAAAACCATGCAGTTATATCACCACCCATTCTCATTGGACAGCCAAAGAGTGAGATTTGCTTTGGAGGAAAAAGGCATTGATTATACATCATTCCATGTCAATCCTGTAACAGGCAAGAACATGGATGCCTCATTCTTCAGGATGAATCCGACCGCAAAACTCCCGGTTTTCCAGAACGGCGGCCATGTCATTTTCGACACGATTGAGATCATTCAGTATGTTACATACTTCACTCTTCACTCCTTGTTACTATAAATATGAGATTGAGTTTGGAAGTCACTTTAGATTTGCATCAGACTGAATTCCTCTAATTTTCTATTTCAATGTTTAAGCAGTGTTTTCTTGTTTCCCAAAGCATGTTGAATATGACAATGTAGAAGATTTTGAACTGCTATCTATCTGTTTTTCCAGATATTTAGAAAAAATTGCAAAAGTCTCATCAGGCGATGAGAACATCCCATTAAGCAGCAGTGAAGTCATTGAATGGATGCATAAGATACAAAAATGGAACCCCAAGTTTTTCACACTTTGTCACATCCCAGAGAAGCACCGTCGTTATGTCTCTAAATTCCTAAGGCAGGTGCTCATTGCTCGAATGGCAGAAACTCCTGATTTGGCAGCTGATTATCACAAGAAGTTAAAAGAAGCATATGAGACGGAAGAAAAGTTGAAAAACCCGGATGTTTTGAAACAGGACAAGGAACACCTAGTAAGACTTCTTGATGAAGTTGAAACACAGCTGAAT